TTTTGTTGTGGAAGAGTTCAGTGATTTGACAGGAGAAGTGTTCAGTAGTTTACCCCTGAACCCTGTATTTTACAGTGAAATAGTTCAGCAGTTTATATTTGAACAGTATAGTTTACATTAGAACAGTTTAACAGTTTACATTCGAAAGAATTAAGCACTTTACAATATTTATTTAAACAATTCAGTAGTTTATATTTGAAAAGTGGTTTACATCAGAACAGTTAAAATGTTTACATTAAAAAAAACAAGCAGTTTTTTAAACCGTTTACAACCGACTTTGTTTAAACAACAATTTAGTTTACTTAAAACTGCAGTCCGTAACTTTTTTTGGTTAAAAATGATCTGAAATCAATATTTGAGCAAGTACATAACCAGCCAGTGTTCGAAACTATCGCCTTATTTTAGCCTGATTCACAACGGTAAGCTTATAATAATGTTTTCTAATTTGAGTGGTACGGGTAGGTTTTCGTGGAAAGTTCGAGCATGCTGCTGCGTCATTACGTCACGTCTGTAAACATAAAGAAGTTGTCCCGGCTAGTAGGCTATCGCATGTGAGGATGCTGCAGGTGGCCGATCGTTTATAGCCTTTTCTCACAACAGCCAGAATAATTATATGTATCATTTTGATGGCGGATTGTAATCCGGAAAGGATTATGTGTTTATGAAACACATGTGAATGAAATTAAATTATATTCCAGTTTTAAATGTGCTTCTGATTACAGATAGCCTGGGATTACACAAGATTTGTATTATAAAGACTACCAGTTCGAAGGGAGCATAATTTGCTTTTTGGATTAAAATAATTCCTTAGTATGAAATTCGAGTGGTATGACAATTAGATATTAGACTGTACAGAGATTGAAATCTACTCGCTTATACACACTATACTCATAGTCACGCAATGCTGATGTTGTTAACATTAACAATTTGAGAATAAAGTATAAAAATAATAATAATTTGCACGGTTTGATGTGATATGAGCTAATTTAGATTAAATCACCATTGGTAGAGCGATTTATTGAAATGCTTTTTTCCACAGTTGGTCAGAACAAACGTGGCAGACTTGTTACTTACTTGTTCAGATGACAATATCCGGTGAAAATGCTTATTTGAGTCATATATTCCAAGACTTAGGCTAGAATCTGCAAAGTACAATATCCACACCTGTGCTGTGGCTGACTGCCACACACACATACTCCTCAAAACATTAGATTCATCCGCGCTGGAGCCGTGCCGCCGCACAACCCACACAAGGAAGATAATTCCGTGCACAGCTGCAATTGCAGGTTTTCAAACAGAGATGACGACAAAGAGGCAAAACTTACGGACTGCAGCTTTAATTCAGTAATTAATATACAAACAGTATAGTTTACAATAGTAAAGTTCAGCTGTTGATTTGTAAAAAGAACATTTCAGTTTATATATTAAGTAGTTTATATTTGCACAACATGGTTTAAAAGAGAACAGTTTTGAAGTTTATATTTAAAAATGTTTTTGAAACCTTTCAGCTCTTTATATCTGAAACATTTCAGTTTAATAAATTTACATTGAGTCATTTGTTTATATTTTTATCAGTTTGCGTTTGCAATGCATCAGTTCAGTATATCTGAATAGAACAGGAGGATTTGAGTCATATTATATATTATATTATATATTTGAACATCACAGTTTACAGGGGAACAGTTCAGTAGTTTTCAGTGAATACTTGAATGCATGTGGTATTTTAGCAAATTGAACAGTGAGATTCAGTGTTTTTAATGGGTCATTTCAGTCATTGGCAATAAAATAGATAGAATCAACCCACCTTACAGAGGTGGAGGATGAATTAAATAACGGCCATGGTTCCTGGGAGTTAAAACGTGTCTTGGTGTGTCAGTGTTACTGTTTTCCTCCTGCCACAAAGCTGCCACAGGGTACAGTTAGTCTAAAGAGCCGAGTGCTCCTAAACGGCTGTTGTCTTCTAATTGCTTTAATAGCACCTGGCCGGTAATCCCAGGTAATTATTGAGCTGAAATTAGACAGCTACTTCAAACATCTCTTAAAAGGAGCAAAAACTGCCTCAGGAACTTGCAGCTCTCTTATCATGCATGCTGGAAAAGTGACATGGAAAAGTGGTTGCGGGTTTGTATTCGTGTGGAGCTTAACGTGTTCTTCCCCACCCCCATGTAGCATGTGAGTTTACGCAGGGAATACTTGTGTAGGCCGTTTAGTTCATCACACTTAATTTCTGCTCTGGGTGAATCACTGTAGTTGATCTTGAATTGAATATGAGACCCTTTAATAAGGGGAACAGGCTTTTTTATAATTAAATTATTAAAGCAAGACACTTGAATTCTAGTTCAAGGTCACTTAACAGAAAAGGAACAAAAGAAGAATGAAACAAAATGAGATGTTCTACATTAAATGTGAATGTACATGACTAAAAATACATTTCATAACATTATTCAACTATTGTCCTTCATTGTTGGGTGTTTACTGTTGTGGCAACATCTTGATCATTGTTATTAGTCTGTTTGTGTGTGTGCATTTCTGTCTCTAGAGCAGAAAGGCTCTCGGAGCCCCAAGGGCCCCTCACTTGACTTTTCCCTCCTGCTCAAGACAACCTTAACCTTTCAGATTGTGCAGACAGACGTATAAACGCACAAATAACACACTTGCCCTCAGTGGCATTCGTTCGGATCTTCGCATTTAATGATGATAATCTAAGAGGCAAGCATTCGAAGAATTTAAAGGGGTCATATGATGCGATTTCAAGTTTTCCTTTCTCTTTGGAGTGTTACAAGCTCTTGGTGCATAAAGAAGATCTGTAAAGTTGCAAAGACTAAAGTCTCAAATCCAAAGAGATATTCTTTATAAAAGTTAAGAGTCAACCACGCCTACCTAAAACGGCTCGTTCTAACACGCCCCCACATATCTACGTCACTATGTGGAAATATTAGCATAATGCCGCCCAAATGTGCACGCAAAGAAAGCAGGCGTGGTTTCAGGAACAGCAGTAGTGTTGATGCAGCCATGTCAGGGAGACGCTGTGTGTTTCAGTGCGAAAGCAAAAGCATTTTATTTGGCCTTACGAGAGTAGATGCAATTAGGAATCATTGGTTAAGATTTATTTACAACAGAACAGCACAACCCAGATGTTCGAATCTGTGCACCGCATTTTATGGGCGACAGTTTTTTGAACCTAGAAGAGTGCAAGGCTGGCTGTGCACAAAGGCTATTTCTAAAAAAAAAAAAAAAAAGGGTCAATTCCGACTTTGCTATGACAATCTGGCACTTCTGAATCAGCGACTGTAAGTATGTTTTGTTATTAGTTTAAGTATTTGCTATTGACTGTTCAAATGCGGAGTTTTGCGGAGCGCAGAGTAACGCGTCGTGTGTGTGTGTGTGTGTGTGTGAGGAACAGGGTCACATCACAGGAGAGTGAACTGCCTGTCAGAAATCATAGCACGTCAGCTGTCTTAACCGCGGCTTGTGTACTGCATCATCACTGTGTCTGTCACGCGACTCTGTTGCCCTTTCGGGGCTTGAACTGATGGTAAAACTAACGACATTATTAACTGTCTTGATATTTACTTTGAAAGCTGAAGCTCGCGATTAATAATGATCTTTAAAATAGCATCAAATGGCCCCTTTAAAGGAAGTTACAGCTTTGGCGTCTAGCCAATCTACTCAAACCACACCTTTAGGATGTCACGCTTCCCTTTATAATATCATTGTTCGTTTTCTAGTTTTTGAGTTTTGGTCTGTGATTTACATAAGTCTGCTCTGGGTCCCTCACAAGCATTTTTTTTTTTTGCGTCCTTGAATCCTCCTGCCATAGCAGATTCTGTCCAAAAGGGGGCGTTGTTAAGCTGCCATACATGCGTGAAATGTTGGCCAGCTGATGTATAGCACTCTTATCAGGGGAAAGGCAGCGTCTCTCTTCCTTTGCACACACAGATCCATACAGATACCTGTCCTATGATAATGTATTTCTGCAGGATGAGCACTCTTTTATAACATGTTAGATTTGTATTTAGATGTGGAATCTATCAGGGCTGCATTCATCAGATAGCTGCAAGTTTTGTCTCAGGCTATTTGATTATCGTTATTAAAAAGTTATTGTGAGGGGAAAAATGCGAGCGCATGCACCACAGAATATGAATTCTGAGCGATACCATATCCGTAACGCGGCGGCTCCGTTTTTAACGGGATTATGTCCGAAAGTGGCCAGACTCCTGGTGCGAAGGGGTTCTGCTGCTTTGTGTTCATGGATTTGTGGGATTAGAATTCTCGTTCCTCCGTTTAGTTGGACTCTTAATCCAGACTGATACAGCTTCAAAGGCTGGTCTTTATTAATCATGTGTTTACATTATCCATGGTCATACACTCCTTACAGACCAAAGCTCTCATTAGAACGAACATGGAAGTCTTTTGTGTACATTTTTGTGTGTGCGTGTGTTTGTTCAAATTAGAAAGAGGGTTTCAACAGAGGCGACTTTTAACAAAGCTGAGCTTACAAAGCTAATTGGAGAGAGATGGGTTGAATCTGATGTTCTTGATTAGAATTTAAGGACTTTTGAAGAAAAGAGGGACAATAAGAGTATGTGTGTGTGGGATAGAGAAAATTAGTGTGTTTGAAAAATGGTAAAAGCTTGAGCTATATGAGCTGTGTGTAATTTGGTGTACAGTTCATGTTTCTGTATAATTATTAGTTGTGTTTCTCTAATTCGTTTCTCTTTTCTGCATGCATTATGCTACACATTCCTTTTGTGTATAATGAAAATAAAAATAAGTTTCTTTCATTCTTGTTTAATTATTTTAATATATGTAATACATTTTAGAACATTATTTCTAATAATATTTTGATTGATAAATAGACTGAGATGTGTTGATCCAGATGTCTGTTCATTTCCAAGTCAAAGCTGACATGTCATTAATTTTGTAAATAATTTGAATGTCAATAGTACATATTCATCTCTCTTTTCTACACCCTTTCCTCTCTTTCTCCTTTCCTACAGCCCAGTCCAATTCCTAGTCCTGTTCTTGGTGGGAGGCCGAATGCAAGTCAGTCCCTGTTGGCCTGGTGCCGTGAGGTCACAAAAAACTACAGAGGCGTCAAAATCACCAACTTCACCACTTCCTGGAGGAATGGACTGGCATTCTGTGCCCTGTTACACCACTTCAGACCCGACTTAATGTAAGCCATGCACAATTATGAAAATACACATTTATACATAAGCCTTAACACACAGGAAGTGTTTCTGGAGGTGGTTCAGTCAGCGGTACCCATGTTAAGCACATGGGTGCGGACACATCTTACCCCACGTTAAAGTGATAGCTCACCCAAAAATGAAAATTGTCATATCGTTTTTTTATGTTTCACATGGTGAAATAATTTCAATTAAATGGTTTTATACCCTGCCAATTAAATGAATAATATATTTTTTAATCTTGGGTAAATTTCCTTTGACATAAAACTACTTTTACCTGCCATGTGGAAAATTCACTTTGACATGCAGTAGCATTAAAAAAATCACTCTGCTTATGTGATCTCTCAATCGCAGTGACCAAAAAAATAAATAAATTACAAGTCAGTTAAATAATAATTTTTTGAATTAGCCTTATGACACTGGAGATTCACAGTTTATTTATTATTGATTGTTCGTTTTATTGTTAAGCCATTTTCAGCTGTTGCCTTTGATCAAAATAATCATCAGATGGCTTATTAACTCTATATAATTAATAGCGACAGCCCTAAACTCTATGTATACACAACTCACTTAATTCACCTCTCTCTCCCCCTCTGTGAGAATCTCACTTTGTGTGGGGGGGTCTAATATGATTTCTGATGGAGAGTTTTTAATCCCTCTGTCTTATTTCTGAACATTTCTCTGTCTGGTCTCATCAGGAATGACTCAAATCCTCCTTAATTACTACACTTACAGCAGATTCATCACAGTGCTGACAGCGCCACGGCCAACCACCCTCTGGGTTTAGCATACGCTAAAGTACCAGGAATCTGGCCGCCATCTATTTAAGGAAGATATTGACTGATTTATTATCTTTGATATATTTACGAAACATTTGCAATGATTTAACATGTATCAAGACAACATTTTCACACAAGATAAGAGACATCCTGCTGTTTGCTTCATGAATTGTCTTATTTTGTATGATTGATCAATGACCATTGTTCCAAAAAAAGTAAATTTATTCCTATTATGATTTTTCTGTTGATGTAAGCAAGAATGCAGGCAGAAATATTAACTAATATTATTGCAATATACTTTTCGTTTTTTCCACTTTTCTCACAAATTCCATTGAATAAAATACAGTATTACCAGCTGAATATGCAGTTAAAGGGGTCATATGATGCGATTTCATTTTTTCCTTTCTCTTTGGAGTGTTACAAGCTCTTGGTGCATAAAGAAGATCTGTAAATTTGCAAAGACTAAAGTCTCAAATCCAAAGAGATATTCTTTATAAAAGTTTAGAGTCTACCTAAAATGGCTCATTCGAACACACCCGCACATATCTACCTCACTATGTGTAACGCCGCCCAAATGTTCACACAAAGAAAGAAGGCGTAACTTTTATTCTCACTTGTCCATTTTTAGAGTAGCCCATTACTGTTTCCCCTGCTGAAGAGAAAAGACCCCAGGCACACAGTGGGTAGGGTTATGGAGAGACGAAACGTTTAATGTGCTGAGTGGTTGAGTAAAAGTGTATGCGTGTCTAATTTTGCTTGCACTCACACACACTATATTAGTTGTGTTGATTGCAGAGCTGTGAAATTGCATGTTACAGCCATTACATGAGACGCATATTTAAAGCTAACTCTCTCTCACTCGCTGTTCTTTCCTCCCTCCTAGTGACTACAAGGCTCTCAATCCTCAAGATATTAAAGAAAACAACAAAAAGGTAAATGCTATACACTCTCTTCCACTCTTGGTTTGTTTGTGCATCAGTAATCCTCCTCATAGGTGATTTATTTTGTTATAACTCTGATTCACTCCCACCCAGCGTTCTCTAATTGCCACTTTCCGAATGCGATTCCCCCTGCCGACACTGATGGAAAGAGTGTGTGTGTTTGTGTGGATGGAGTAAGTCACCTGGGAGTCATAAGATAGCATCATAATTCATAAACATGCTATAGATAAACTTTACAGGCTTCTCTACAGAGAGAGCAGGAAAGAGAGAATCAGAGGCAGTAAGAGCTTTATTGCCAAGTGTGTTCACACACACAAGGAATTTGTCTTGGTGTTAGGAGCTTCCGGTACAGAAAATACAAACAAAGTTCAGACATACATAACATGAGAGAATAGATAATAAATTATAAATAACAATAGTAATAAAAATATACAGAAAAAGTAAAAAGTCCATAGACAGAACTGTGAATGTGCATATGTGCTATTTACAGATTAAGGTTTAATGAGTTATTTACAGATGTGCAGATGTGTTATGTGTTGTTCAGTTGGAATATGGCCTGGGGGAAAAACTGTTCTTGTGTCTGGCTGTTTTGGTGCTCAGTGCTCTGTAGTGCCAGCCAGAGGGCAACAGTTCAAAGAGAATGGGCTGGGTGTGAGGGGTCCAGAGTGATTTTGTTAGCCCTTTTCCTCCCTCTGGAGATGTAAAGTCCTTGGAGTTTGGGTAAAGGGGCACCAATAATCATCTCAGCAGTCCTGACTGTCCGTTGTAGTCTTCTGATGTCTGTTTTGGTAGCTGAACCAAACCAAACAGTTATAGATGAACACAGGACAGACTCAATGATGGCCAAGTAGAACTGTTTCAGCAGCTCCTGTGGCAGTTTGAACTGCCTCAGCTGGCGGAGGAAATACAGCCTCTGCTGGGCCTTTTTCACAATAGAGTCAATGTGACTGTCCCACTTCAGGTCATGAGAGAAGGTGGTGCCCAGGAACCTTAATGACTCCACTGCAGTCACAGTGCTGTTCATGATGGTCAGTGGGGAGAGTGCAGGGGGGTTCCTCCTGAAGTCCACTATCATCTCCACAGTTTTGAGTGTTTAGTTCCAGGTTGTTAAGATTGCACCAGCCAGCCAGCTGCTCAACTTCCTGTCTGTAAGCAGACTCGTCTCTGTCCTTGATGAGGCCGATGACTGTAGTGTCATCCGCAAACTTCAGGAGTTTGACAGAGGGGTCTTTTGAAGTGCAGTCATTTGTATACAGGGAGAAGAGCAGTGGGGAGAGAACACATCCCTGAGGAGCTCCAGTGCTGATTGTGATAGTCCTGGATGTGAGTTTGCCCAGCCTCACTAGCTACTGCCTGTCTGTCAGGAAGCTGGTGATCCACTGACAGATGGAGGTGGGCACGGAGCGCTGGGTCAGTTTGTCTGAGAGAAGGTCAGGCATGATGGTATTGAAGGCCAAACTGAAGTCTACAAATAAGATCCTTGCGTAATTCCCAGTTTTGTCAAGGTGTTACAGGATGTAATGCAGTCCCATGTTGACTGCGCCATCCACAGACCTGTTTGCTCTGTTGGCAAACTGAAGAGGATCCAGCAAGGGTCCAGTGATGTCCTTCAGGTAGGCCAGGACCAGTCGCTCAAATGACTTCATGACCACAGACTTGAGAGCGCCAGGTCTGGAGTCATTAAGTCCAGTGATTTGGGTTTTTTTGGGGACCAGAATGATGGTGGAGCATTTGAAGCAGCAGGGAACTTCACACAGCTCCAGAGATCTGTTGAAGATCTGTGTGAAGACGGGGGCCAGTTGGTCAGCACAGATTTTAAGACCGGCAGGTGAAACACCGTCTGGGCCTGAAGCTTTCTTAGATTTCTGCTTCCTGAAGACCCTGTTCACATCCTCTACACAGACCTTAAGCGCAGGTTGAATGGTGGGGGAGAGAGGGAGGGGGGTTGCAGGGGGGATAGGTGAATGTGTGAAGTGCAGATCAGAGCGGGTGCTGGGTGTCAGTCTGGCCTTTTCAAATCAACAGTAAAACACATTCCGATCGTCAGCCAGTTGTTGATTCTCCACAGACTGTG